TGTGATTCTCTTTCTCTGTTGTTGGTTTAGTTTTGGTTTTGATTTCGGTTTCGGTTTCGGTTTTAGTAAGATTTATGTGTTTGTTTACAAGTTTACATTGTGGAGAAGAATGATTAGTGATAATGGTTGTAATCGAAGTGCTCACGTCCATTTTGTGCCATGGATTTTGTTTTATTTAATGAAAATCGTAAAATTGAAATAAAAAAATTGGTATCGAATTTTTTATTTTTTATTGTCATTTTATTTTATAAAAAATGTGAAAATTTATTGGGAATTCAAGATTGTACTATAACATTAGATTTTTGTATAACTAGGTAAATTTAAAACTTTTAAATATCATTCAGTGTGTTTGGTTTGAGTTTTCTGGATTAAGTTTTTTTAAAACTAAGTTTTTCGTTTTCCGTATTTTTTTGTTTTAGTGAATATTTTTAAAATTTTAAGCATTTTTTTTTTACTTTTTTAGATGCACCTTACTTAGATGTATCTAAAAAGTAAAAAAATTGTGAAAAAATATTTTAAAAAATTAATAAATACATAAAAATACAAAAAAAAATTACTGAATTCTTTTTTTTTTTTTGTATTTTTGGTATTTAGTGAATCTTTAAAAGGTTTTTTTCACAAATTTTTTATTTTTTAAATATATTTATGTTAGGCATATCTAAAAATTTTAAAAATTGCTTAAAATATTTTTAAAAATTCAGTAAAAATAAAAACATAAAAAAAAAAAAAAACAAAAACAAGAAAGTAAAATTTTCTGGAAACTATTTTCAAAAAAATGAAACCAAACAAGCTGATTGTGTTTTTATCCTCTTTCTATTCTATTATACCATTGCTACTATTTATTAGTTTGTTAATCATAATGCAATTAATTGAAAATGAAAGCTTAGTATAACTTTTCATATATATTAATTAATTTGTTACCGTTATGTTTGTATATAATAGCATAACATATAGGGATAATCTCCAAATATAATTTCTATTTTTTTTTTATGTGATTAGAATAGTCCATCTTAAAATAGTATATAGAGAAGTTAGATGGCTTCTTTTATCCTCAAAAAACTCAATTTTATTTTTTTATACCTTTAATTTTTTAAATTGAAACATCGGTTGTTTATGTCCACAAAACAAAATTGATAAACACATATCAAAAAACTACACATTTTTTTTTCTTTTTCTTTTATTTTTTCTTTTTTTTAATAGGTATGATATTTACAAATGAAGAATGTTTGACACCTCCAAAAAAAATTTATAATCCGACTTATAATGATGTGATCATAAATATCAATTTTTATACAAATATGAGAAGAGAATTAATTGAATTATACATTCACTACAAGAATTAACACTTTTGGCAACAAAAAAATTGGTCGCCAAAAGTCAATATTTGGTCGGCAAAAGTTATCCGCGACCAATTTTTTTGGTCGCTACTTTGGTCGCCAATTGAGGGTCGGCAAAAGTAATTCGCGACCAAAATTTTCGTTGGTTGGGAAAAGTTACATTTGCCGACTAAATTTTTGGTCGCTAAATATTTATTTACTGCGACTAATCCATTTTGTCGCTAAAACATTTTGGTCGCGAAAAGTTGACTTTTACCGACCAAATTTCTTAGTCGCCAATTGTCACATTTCGCGACCAAAAATTTTAGTCGCCAATTGTGACATTTTGCGACCAAAATTAGTTTGGTCGCCAATTGTCACATTTGGTCGCCAACATCCAACAAAATAAACCTGTAATTTATAATAATCTATCCAATTTATTCAATATAATCTGTAATTTGCAAAAATCATTCAAACCAACAAATAAATTGAATCATGAACATTCAACAAAATACATAGATCAACCATTTCTGAACCTGTTTAATTAAAATCAGCAACTATTATAAGTTTTCATCCACAAATAATTCCAAACTACATATTTCATCTAACATAAAAATTTAAGACATAACAAATACTTGTTATTATGTTTAAAATTTTTATCCATGTACATCAACCGAAAAATATAACTAGTAGTCTACTAAATATTTTCTATACACACCCATCCAAAAATATAACTACTAGTGTATCTAAAAATATTACTACTAGTCTACCCTTTTTCTACCCATATCGAATCTCTAATCTCCTGGACTGATAGTCAGTGCAGTTTGAACAGGAAACAAGTTCTCTGTAAGTGCTGGATGCAGGAAACCATCCTTCCAAATCATACTTCTTTGCAGCTGTATCATTCAAAGCACCGGAAACAATAGCCACAATTTGATAGGGTAGTTTTAGCTGCAATAGAGAGAATTATGTCATACTTGTAGGAAAGAGTTTTTGCATAATTAAATAGAGAAAAATCAATTCGTCATCAGCAGGAGCCCATATATAGGACCCTCGAATTTCTTTGGCGTCAAGTGGCAGACTTTTTAGCATTAACCAAACGAAACAACCAATTCCAAAATCACTCATCTTACATGACATTACAAAACCTGGCAAGATAATCTATATGAGTACTATAAGAAACATTATCAAGTATCTCCAGCTTAAAAAAAATGAATATAACGAAGAAATAACCAAAAATTATACACATCATTCCCCTACAATTCTGAGGGCAGGAAAGCTCTATACCGTCTTGTAAAACTCTTCTGAGTTCGTTATCATTTCCTCGTGCATGTCCCAAGAGTCATATATGTTAAACCTACTATATGTGATTTAAAACAGTTACGCATATATAAGGTAAAAAAGAAGCATAAAAAAATTAATTTTGTGAACCAAGTGGATCTAATTGGGCTGATCAAAATTTTGTGCCTTGTTAATTGCCTTGTTAAGAGTCAAGGAAGATTTCTCCTTCCTGGACTATGACCTCCAACTCACAAAATATATATATAGAATTGTTTGATCTAAATTCATTCTGAGTGACATTCATTTAGGTCACCCTTATTGAATCTATCACATATTGAATTTGTTTGCCTATATTTCTAACGTGTTTGGCAGTAGGGGTTAGAAACAAAAAGTATTTCTTGTACACATTTTTGAAGTATCCATGTAGGCATTTTAGCTACTGCCCAAAAGAAGACAAATAAACGAAAGAAAGAAATAATCCAGAGTTGGTCCTTTTCCAGAACAACTATGTCATCAAAACCATTACTCCCTAATCTCGTGACAATCAGTACCAAAAAATTACCAGAGACCCTATTGATGGAGTGTAATTAAAATCATCAAGAATAAAAAATCTGAAGGAGTATAAAAATATGATCCAACAGTGCTGACTTGGTGACATGAGAACAAATACCTCTACTAACCAGAGAGAATAAGACTGAAAAGCAAGCAGTCCACATGAAAATATAAACTTATAAACACATGGTGTAAAATTTTGGCACGTGATAGAAATAATTTGTTAGAAGTGGAAATATGACAAAGAAATAAAGTAACATACATTAAATTCAGTGTTGGGTTTCCGTAAAAGCGTCTCCACATAACTGGCCAATCCCGCAGCTGTTGGAAACAACTTAAAGTCAGATCAATATTCAACTTTCTGTACACATCAAATTAGGGATGAGCACCAAACATAAAAAAAAACTAAAATTAGATGGCTTGGTCATGACCATTTTAGCTCAAAGGATGAGAAACAGATAACAAAAGGGAAAAGGATGACTTGACGAGAGTTAGTATTTATATTTACATAAATCACATCGAACATTAAAGGTACTGACCTGGACCTATGGGACCAGAAGTTGTCACAGCAACCTTTTGGCCAGCTGAGACAACATCAACTTCCAAAAATCGCCCAACATCAAAGGGCTCTGGAGCATAGATTGATTTGTTGGCACCTGAAGATGTGGACAGTCAAACTAGTGAGGAGAAAGCAAATGCAGCACGGAGAAACAAAGGTAGTTCAGAACTTAATATTTTTGTTGCACCCAATAGAAAAGGAAACAACATATGAACTCCGAATATAATCCAAAATGTGTATTTTAACATTAAAATGTATTCCAACTTAAGACATAAATCTATTTTTGGAAAGTATATGCACTCAAGTATATAAAGTGATTAGAGAGAAGCAAGTGAATCCTATATTACGAAAACAGATACCTAGTGGAAATTCAATTGCAGAAAAGTAAATATATTTCGAAATACGGGTCTTAACTAACCATATCTTCTAGACATAATAATTATTTTCCTGAATTGATGAACATCATCAACAATACGTATACAACATCCCATCCGCTAAATGTGAAAAAACTAATAATAAATAAATAATAACTGCTTCAAGAAAAAGACACTGGAATGCAAACTTAAGTAATGCCGTCTAAGTTACATTTCTAGTAGTAGATGAGCACGGCATATTCTAAGAGGAAGCAAAAGCTATGTGGCCAGCTGACTGAAACATGTTGCAGATCCACTTGACTCCACCGCAATTTAAGGAAACAATGAAGGAATCAGATCCACTCAACACAAAAGGTTACCCATTGGCATCATATTGTCCAAATTAAGAAGCCAATGAATTTTAGAGTGTAGTAATTTAACCAATAGGCATTCAGAGGGATAGGCTGACAGATAAGAATCGTGTCAAAACTTAGGTTAGTCTCAGGCCAGAGGTTATTTAATCCGAAAATTCAAATAGACGGTGCTATATGCTCGGGTCCAAGAGCTCGGCCAAGCATAGCCTCCATTTGAGTAGTACCCTCTATCCAAACATATCTTCTGAGTATATCCTCTATCTCCATTGCTTTGGCCCCCTCTTCGTGATATACTCCAATGCACTATGCCAGTCTAGGTCAGGAGCAAGGCCTAACAACACCCTTGGGTTAATAAATAAATTACGGGGCACTTCAGCACTACCCTTTGAGACAAAAGGTCTCTGGTTCAAGTGTGTGAAGCGACGTCTCACATCACCTAGGTACAAAGGTAATGAGTAGTATACAAATGTAAGGGCACCCTCAACTCAACAACTAACTTTTAGAGTTGAGTTTTATCCAAGACCATGTAACATGGTATCAGAGTCAGAACATGCAAGAGCAGGTAAAGTGAGGGGTTTAAACACTACCCTAGTGACCATTATTAAAATACATCCTTAGTTATGCACTGGGTACTCACTATTTAGGAAATCAAAACTTTTTGAGATATATATTATAGTTTAAAACAAAAGACATCAATAGAGAACTTGATACTACTGCACTCTGTGCTAAATACATCACAGCAGTAAATATGATTTTCCATTTAAGCTGCATAATTTAAAAGTTGTCCAAGATAAGCACTATAACAAAGTCAACCACACATTCAAGAAAACAGAATGGATACCTGAAATAAGTTCCCTTCTGCTACCTTCAGTCGATATACGATACCACTGGATTGAACATTTTGACAGGTCTTGAGCTTCATCTGAGCAAGGTTGAACTCGCAAAGCTGAACCTAAAGTTTCAGAACCACCGAACTCATATACACAGAACTTGTTCTCCTCAGCCCTCCTGCTCATTGCCAGCTGCGAAGATTAAGAAAGCACAACAAATTAGAAACTCAACCTCACCATTTGCATCTCAACTCACCAACCTCACCATCATTATTAACAACCCTCAGACCCCATCTCCCAGGTGATTTTTCATTATGTTACATGTTATTTCATTATGTACGCTTTGCTATTGAAGCTCTAAATTTTTTGTATATGTTTATTTGTTGTTACTAAAAATAACGATTGAACCATTTTCTTCTACCCACTTTAAAATATAACTTCCATTGTTTTAGATGAGAGAGACTAAGTTTCTTAGAGAGAGAAGAGGATAGATAGATCCAAAGAAGCATGAACACTTCTAAGGAGAAAGTGTGTCGTGTTGGACACCCATGTCAGACACTGAAACTCTTTGGCCACTTCTATAAGTGTGTCCAACACTTCTGTAAGTGTGTCCGACACTTCTTTAAAGTGTCTTAATTAAAAAATCAAATTTACTATATCAAGCACTAAACAAATTTTCTTAGACACTGCAGCGACACTTTTATATATTTGAACCCTCCAAATATATCCTACGTGATAAATGATAAATCCCTCCATAATAAAAATGTGAAGATATATTTTGGTATTCATTAACATTTCCTTTTTGGGTTAATGACACTTGTCTTCCTTTTATTCATTAGGGTTGTCTCCTATTATGTTTGTATTTAAGCACATTTTTGAAATAAGAGATCAAGGCGCCATATTATTTTTTCTCTCCAATCTTACTCTGCAAAGTCAGTTCCCATGGAAAAAAAATGGTACTTACCAAACAAGAGCTGAAAATTCATGACGACTTAAATTCTTGTGCTGCATGTATAGCAGCATTGGATTTTTTAATCCTACCTTTTACAATCTACTTACCAAACACAATATTAAATGTTGCCTTCTAAGAACTTCAATTTATAAGGCATTAAAACTTTGTTTATAAGGAAAATGAGGAAGGTAAAACAAAACAGTCACAAACCTCTCTTTGGAGCTTAACCAAAATTATAGACTTTTCTCGAATCTGCATGCGTAGAGCTTGGAGCTCATGTTCCATGTCAATCACCTACAAAATATACCACAATTTCTCAAATTCAAACAGGTGATTATTTTGTTGCAGCAGGATATTCATCATAAACTTTGTATTTATAGCATACAAACAAAACATAATTCATTACTGCAGACAAGACAACAATATGAAAGAAAAGAATTAAGCAAACCCAACAACTGTAAGAACACAGTCATTTAACACCACAGCAAACTAAAAATCACAGAACTGTCAATAGATGATGCAAAGAATTCAGCAAGCAAAAGAAGAAAAATAAAGCAGCATATACAGCATCAATACATTATAGATATTTTTATATTATTGGATGTACAAAAAATATTTTGAATTGATCAGGCAAAATATGATTGGATGTTTGATAAAATTACATCAACCTAAACAAGAAAAAGGCAAAGAACTCCATTTAACATACCTTGCTGGGCTGATGCAACAATTTAATTCTTCTAGCCTCTTGAACCTCCTCCAGAAGTTCGTCAAGCTCCTAACAATATTGGACAAAACAAACAACAGTAAGCAACAAGCATCTTCTACAAACAATTTAACATCAGGAACTGCCTCATGAAATATTACTCATCTAACATGCACATTGCCACATAAGAAATCAATAATGTCAAAGAATATCTGTGGACATAACTCAGATTAAGAAAATTACTACTTATTATCAATCACTGCAACAAGCATAAGAATATAACCAAAAAAACATAGTTGAATGAACTATGTATTAGATAAGCATCAACTTCCACTATAACACTGCAGCATCAAGTCAAAAAACTCTTTGAGAGATGCACCAAAACCATGATTGCAACAATCAGGGTTCCAAAGCATCAACTTCCATTTAACCAATTTCTTAGCATCTTCTGAAGCCTAATTTGGATTCTTAAACCCCAATTTGCTGCTATGCTCTATGCTAGTCAGATTGTATTTATCTTACTCATTAACAAATTATCATTACATGCCAACAATAATAGACACCTTGAATTTGTTCCACAAAGAATTAATCTAATGATAGTAATGAATATATCTTCTCACAAATGTGGCATATTGACAGTGACTGCTAAAATTAGCTCCAAAGACTACAATTATGACTATTCTCTTTTATGTCATGCCTTAGATCCTACTGGAATTACAATTAATGTCAATACAAGCAAGATTTTAGATGGTGATGTAAATTAATGAAGAAAGAGGATCTAAAATTCAATAAAGTAAGATCATTGACCTTGTCACTTAGGAACATGAAGGAAGTAAACTATTTAAGAAATTGAACATGTAGATAGATATTGACAGTGAAAAATAAAAGAAATTGGAACATATCAATTTTCCTTGAGACCTTCAAGAGACAAAAGTCAAATCAGTTTGTAACAAAGTCTATGAAAGAAAATAGATAAACCCATTTGAAAAGAATACCCTAATGTTGCACATTTAATCATCTTAAGATTGCAAAAATGAAAGAGAGAGAAAGGTAATGTGGATTTTTTTTTTTTTTAGGCAGCGAAGTCTACACCATTGAGACCGCCGAATACTTGAGAGTAGTCGAAAATGGAGCTGCGTACATCGAAGGAAAAGTCGGCATCGTTAACAGGAGGGAGATCGAGAATCGGAATAGAGGAAGCAGGAGAGGCGTGAAAATTGCTGAAAATCTCAGTGTAGTCGGAGACTCGAGGACAGAGAGTGGGAACTCCTCCCAACTTTGGAGGACCTCCAAAGACGTCGTCGTACATGGTCTTAGGTCTGACGCCATTGCCATTGCCATTGCCATTGCCATTGTATGATTTCTTCGAAACAGAGTGAGGGAGATTTTCCATTTCTTCTAGGGTTTTCTTCACCCTAATTCTCCCCCCTCTCTCTCTCTCCCCGTGTGCTTTCACTTTCTGTATCTCTTTCTCTGTTGTGTGCAGAGACTCTGAGGAGAACGACGAGAGAGAGGGACCAAATTGGGAGTGAAAGGGAGAGGAATATTTTTATTAATTACACCAAGACCCCTTAATTGGTGAATACTATCATTTTATCATATTGACCCCTCAATTACACAGTCCTTCTAAAAAATGGTTTAAAGCACTCTTATTTGAAGCCTTCGAATATGAAAAAAACCAACTTATTTATTTGTTTGTTTGTTTATTTAGGTCATATAATTTTATTATTTTTTTGGTATGTTTTTTAAGAAAAAATTAATAAATTAGTTTCTTTTTTTTTACTTTTTAAAACAAGTCTTATTGTAATCTAAAAGTTGATAAGTAGGAAACAGAAATTAAAATCATCTATTTTTCAATTTTTAGATAATCAACTTATTTAAGTTGAAGCTGCACCAAGTAAGATGGCACAAACTCTTAAACTAAAGGAAAATATAAATCTCAATTTTTTTATCAAATGGGTGTGAGACCCACACAAATCACATGATAAGACATTTAATAAAAAATTTGATAGATTATTTAAGATTCCTAACATAATTCTAAATTAAAATAAGTTATTATCAACTTATTTAAACTGCAACAAGACTATTTTATAATTGAAGAGACAAAAAAAATACGAGCTCATGATAAATAAGTTGATATTTGTTAGTTGGGGTCTTGTTGTAATTCAATTTTTTGTTTTTTTGTTTTTTTGTGGTCACCCAAACAGGACTTTTCCTTGGATTTTGTATTTATGATGTGCCTCGTACATTGAAACATTTGTTGTGTTTGCTTTGCTGGACTGCATCTTTTCTTTACTTTTAAATTGTTTATTTATCAAGTATAATTAAAAATTAATATTACAACTTTTTTTTAAGTGATTCCAATTTTTAGCACTATAAATAAATTTCAAAATTTTACTTTACGAATTAATGTGACACCTTTATTATAATATGTGTTTTTCTTGTCACATTATAATTAATAAATCATATTAATATTTTAGAAATAATTAAATAATCCATTCTTTTATTTGGCATGTGAAACCATTAATATTATGTACAAATAACAAATTACAATAAAATCATTAGTCAAGTATAAAATATTTCATATTTATAGATGTGATTCTTTGTTATGTGTACTTAAAATTGAGGGCACACATAATTAAAATATAGATGTGTGCATTACGCAATCACTTGATCATTTTTAAAATTTATAGGAAGCAATTTTGTATAATTTACAAATAATTTATACTAACATTTAAAAAGAACTTTTTTGAAGGAAAAAATATAAATCAATACATATGACCAAAAATAATTACAACGCATAGGGCTATAATTCTGTGTAAAAAAAACACAATAAAAATTGCAGCCAAAAAAAAAAATCTTACCCTTTTGTAAATATTTATCTCACTTCTTATTGAACGATAATTTTCACTTTTTTGAAATCGTAAGGGCTGATCACCCAATGACCATAGATCAAACCTAGGGTTCGTGGTGAGGGAAGAAATTGAATTAAAATTTTTTTTCTTTTCTTTTTTCTGTGAATTTGAATTTTGATAACTCACACAAAGTCGTTGATAGCTTATTTCTCTGCATTTTTTGTGTTTTATTTATGTGTGATTAATATTTTTATATTTATTTAATAATTAGTTTTGTAGCAAAATTTTACTAAAGTGGAGTGGCAAAATAATATAAAGATTGAGATGTTTCCAGCCGATGAGTAGACTGACTGCTTTTGCTGTGGATGGTTCAAGAAATATCATTGATATAATAATGTGTTTGGGTAATCTGAAAAAGTGCAATTAATGATTTTCTTAGAAGGTTACTCATTTATTGCATGCTTTTAAATATCAATACTAAAAATTTCAAAGAAAAAAAATTGCTAATTGCAAACAAAATTAGGTAAGCACCATTTAAATTTCTCAAACTTTAGAGTCAATTAGAAGATGGGTAGGTGGATAACATGCATTCCTTTTGCATGTTGAGAAGATTTGGACAGTGACGCTGGTTTTCTTTTATGCATGTATTTATGTATGAGTATAGCTTTGGGGGGAAAAAATACAAAAACAAAAAAAAAAAGATAATTGTCATTCCATGCATGCATGCCATGAGCTCGGTAGGGTCTCACCCCATTAAGGGGGACCAATGATTTGAAAATGGTGGTAGTTTGTTGGCTGTGCCTCAAATTTTTCTTCTCCTTATTGCAATATGAAATTTTAATAATGCTAGGTAGTTCAAAATTTTGTGACTCAAATGGTTTAAATCACTCAAAACGACGTCGTTTTGATTGTAAATGAGTGTAAAACGACGTCGTTTTGACAGATTTGAGCTATTTGAGCCACAAAAATTTGAGCTACCAAACATTTTCCTATTAAAAATTGGATCAATCCGAATAAAGCCATCTCAACCTTACCAAACACTTTTAGGGAAAACAAACACCAAACTTAAATTTTACTTATCAAAATAAATTATAGTTTTGACAATTCACTAAAGACGGGTGTTTTACATCCTCTCTCAATAAAGCAAATCTTTTTGGTATAGTATCATATCCACTTTCAAATTATATGAACCCATAATTATTTTTAAACTTTTTACTTATATAGGGGTAATGATGAGGAAAAAAGAAAACCCATTGTCTGGTTAATTAGTTGTCCCCATTTTCATAAAAGCGCAAGGGTATTAAGTGTAATTTATCCTAAATTATGGACTAAGAAATAAGTATTAGCATTTGTCCCCAATGTTGGAACGCTCTCATGATGCACTGCTTATAAATCCTATGCACAACCCACCACATTCCTCTTCATCAGAGCAATCAAAATTCACCCTCAATCTCTCTCTCTCTCTCTCTCTCTCTCACACACACACAAACACACACACACACACTCTCTCTCTCTGTCTCTCTCTCTCTCCATGGATTCATCATCCAGTAATTTTGTAAACCTACAAAAGTACTAAAAGTTTGTAAAATCCGCTCGAGCAGAAGAGCAAAATTTTAAAAAACAAAAGTTTGGAAACTGAGCAATCAACCTGTCCCAATCACGAGCACGACAACCCAATAGCCAAATTTAAGGATGTATAAGGGAAGCAAGACATGAACAACAATACGAAACCATGAAACCCGAGTCCGGAATATAAAATGAATGGAGTCTAAACCAGAATCGTTATAGGACGCGATTCCTCGCCACTCATTCAATTCCTTAGATTAGTCGCTTTTGAGATTCGTATTTTGTAATAATTAGTTAATAATTAGATAATTAATTTATTCATTTGTGTTTGTAATAATTAGTTAACTAGCATAATTACTCGTGCTATGCACGGCTATAAATAAATAATCAAAAATTAATTTTTAAAATTAAATAATAATCTAAAAAATTTATCTACAATATTTAGCAAAAATGATTTAGAATTAATTAAATTTTATTTATTTTTATCACAGTTACATATAAGAGAATTTTTTTTATTCGTATGTTATTAATTGTGTGCTCTAAGTTCTTAATAACAAATATATGTCATAATTTAAGTGGTAAAAATTAAAAAATAAATCACAAAAATTATGTTTAAAAAAAAAAGAAGCTATATATATTTATGTTTAAAACAATTAAATGAATGGTTACATATATTTATGTATTAAAAAAATATTTAAGATAAAGCCACCCTAAATTGTAGGTCATATTCTAGTTCTAATAAATTTAAATTTTATATTTAAATTATATCATAGTTATCAGTTTGTGACTGATATAAGCTAATTTTGGGGTTCTAATATTGGATTAAACACTAAAAAAATAGCCAAGAAAATTTAGTTCGAGTAGATTTTTTCTCCCAATAATTCTTGATTTAAGCCTAGTCCTTAGAGAATCGTCTAGTTCATGTCTAATTCATGAGTTAGTAAACCTACCTATTTATTTAATTTTTAATTAGTAAACATTAATATATATTTTTTTAAATTTATAAAATCCCCTACACGGTTAGCACTAGTTTTATATGATTAGTAAGTCCAATTTCACTACCATAGTTTTTCTCTCCACTACCATGCATATTAGTAACTGATTGAGCGCATTTAAAAGTTGGTTATTTTAATTGCCTTTTTAATTTTTTAATTATTTTAATTTAATTAAAATAACTACACTTAGAAAGTTGGTTAAATTTTTTTTAGTTAATTTAATAATTATAAAAGAAAAAATAAAATAATTATAACTTAAATATACCATTTTATTTTATTGACTTGTATTTGCTGCCATACTTCTCTAAAGTTGCGTTGAACTCATATTATGCACGCCCAACAAATCTATTTATATTATTCACATTCTTGTATTTAGGATTTGGCTTGTCTCAACGTGTCATTTTAATTTGAGAGAACATTTAGACTTAATAAATCTGTTTTGGAATCAATTTTAATGATCTGAACAGTTCACTTTTTAAGACTCGTTGAATAAAATATTCATATAAAAAATTAGAATGATTGAATATTAACAACTATATATTTAAATAATATTTATTTAAAAAAATGAACGACAAATATAATTTTAAGAATAACCATCTATTTTTTGTAATATAAATTTGATTTCAACATATAGCTACAATCATCTTAATATTTTACATAAATATTTTATCTGATAAATTATAAAAAGTAAACTGTTTGAATTATCGAAACGAGACCTATGATGAGCTCCACAGATATCTCAAGTTCTCTCTTCTTGAGATTACAACATGAGAGAAGCCCAATACAACAAATAAGCATAGCACCAAAACAAAAACAATAAATAAAAATTAAAAAAAAAAAAAAAAAACTTGTGAACATTAAAAATGTGATAATGAAATTATGAATAAACTGAACTACTTACACTATCAAACACAACGGTAATGCTGGGACCCCAGCACCCCCCTCCCCCCTCCACGTGGGGGGCTGACAATGGCTAAAAAAAAAAAAAAGAGTTTTTGGGCTAATCAGAAAGGACCCCAACACTCCCACTGGGAGTCTCATGCATTTTCCCAAACCTAAGGCCAAGTTTGACAATCTTAAAAAAAGTCAAAAAATTACTCAAAAAGTTAAAAAATTATCACTATTCACCAAAAGTCAAAAATTACGACCGCACAACTCCCAATCCTAATTTTCCTCTACACACTAATTTATACATTTTTTTAATACACATTTTTTCATAAAAAGTCAAAAAGTTAACCCAAACATCCATATTTTTTTCCTCAATTTTTTAGTTCAAAAAGACAAAAAATACACTTATTTAGGACACCCCAAACAACCCCTTACAAATAACTCCCATGCAAGAGTTCTACTCAACATTTAATTAAGGCCAAGTTTGGCATCTTTAATAAAAGTCAAAAAGTCACTATCCTATTTAAGTCATATCATCTTATTTAAAGTCTAGTTTGGCATGTTTAAAAAAGGCAAAAAGTCAAAAAGTTATTATCCTATTTAAGTCATATCATCTCATTTAAGTCACATCATCTCATTTAAGTCACATCACCTCTCTAACACGTCACTTCAAACCCAACTCATATTTCATAAGAAGTCAAAAAATACACTTATTTAGGACATCCCAAACAAAGTCACATCACCTCTCCACCACATCACTTCAAACTCAACCCATATTTCATAAAAAGTCAAAAAGTACACTTATTTAGAACATCCCAAACAAAAATCAAACACCTTAAAAACATGTAATGCAGTCAATATATATGTATATATATATAACCAGTCTTTAGTTGAATCGAGAACACCCAAGCTAGTTATAAGCTAATTTGCCTTCAAAACTTCAATAACACTCGCTATTTGCTTTGGTTAAGATGAACCTATTGCCAGGACAAAAAAAATGAAATGATACTGTTCAAATCAAACACACCATTGAATCTTGATGGCCATTTTTTGTTCCTTTATGGTGTGGGAATTGGAGTTGCAAGAAATTTTGCATTTTAGGGCTTTGGCCCTCTTTTTAATCCCAAAAAGAAGGGGGCAAAAGGACAGTATCCTTGAATCCCATGGAATATATCACTAATCAGCACTGTTGTAAGTAATAAAAAGGTATTGAAGTTCAAGAAAAAAAAAAAAAAACAACTAACTTTGCAGTTGAGAATCGAGTATCGAAATCAATCAAGAACAAAACTACTGTTTCCTTCCCCTACCCTTCTTGGTCAGCTGTGCTTCCATCTGCTCTTTTCCGGTAACTTCTGATATATCTACTGCAGAAAGAGAGGAGAGACACATGTTCCCTCATCAGAATAATCCAAAGCACATAAGATGCAAAACCAAAAACCAATGATAACTAAGGAACAACCATTACAAATATATAGAAATTGTTTGCAGGGTACCCAATTTGCAACCTCACATGGAACCTCACCTCAAGAGGGACATCCCTAGGGCATCCCATGGAAACAAAAACACCTGGTTGAGGTTCATGCAGCACTCAAAATGAAGTTGTTTCCATTTACAAATCATACATAATATGTTTATTTAAGTTGCATCATTGGATTAGGATTGTTTACAAATTTCATAAAACCCGGTTCCATTTTTTACCACGCTAGGGTGATTTTCTTTGAAATGACAAGAAGCCATTCTTGCAGAGGGTCTGATTGGTTCAATTACCATTAAAAAAAATTGAGGATTAAATTTTCATGTGAAATCACAGAAAGAAGGATACCTTCAGGACCACGGGCCATCAGCGTAAAGAATATGTTGTTGAGTTTCTCCATCTTCTTAGCTTCTTGCGCCTGGTCTGTCTTAAACTTGAGACACTAACAAGGAACAAAAAATAATAAGAAAAGATAGGCAAACACCCATTTACACTTCCAAACACACACGACACCCATGCTGAGAGTGAGTTCATATGCCAAAAAACTGAGAATTCTCTTGGTGCTGCTTCTACAGTCTTTATCAATCACCCTAGTTCAATAAAACTGTAATTGAGCTCTATATTCCCTTTCTTAATGGCCAACTTGGAATCCCAATTTTGTACATTAACAAACAAAAAATCATATGCCAGAATCCTCTCCTCAAAGTGCAGCTAGAAAAAATTGGTTTAGTGTTCTAGAAGTTAGGCTATCAAATCCCAATGATTTTAACGGTAGCAAATTATTTTAACAAGTCCATCAATCAACTTTAAACCAATTTTTGGCAAGTCACCAACCGAAAAATGCACGGGAAAACACTAACCAGCTTTTTTCCAGTATGACATTGCTCGAATACGCAATCTCCTCTTGGAGATCAATGGCTAACTCCCCCATGTAGTATCTGCAAACTAGCATTCCTCTCTGTTTATTCTAGTCCTTTACATTGCTTTTCTTTTATTTTCTTTTTATGGGTAGGGAGTAATATCCTTAAAACACATATAACCAATGTGAAGACTAATTGAGAAAGTTCACAAAATATAAAATCAAATTAGGGGAAGAACACAAGAACACAAGAACATTGTTTGACCCTATAAAGAATAAAGATTGAACATATATGCCCCAATAAAACTGGTTGTAAAACACACGAATAAAAGCCCTAATTGCATCCTAGTCAATACAAATACAAACAATTGAAAGATAATTAGTCTATTAAAAAAAAAGGTCACAAAAACCAAAAAAAAAAGGGAAGACAGTGAATGAGAAATACCTCACGGTTATCAGTGACCTTGAGAACCAATTTACCATCACAATGTCTGTACTTCATCACATAACGCGTCTATATCCCAGTGCAATTGAACAGGAAAAAAAAAAAATTGGAAGACAAAATTATTAGTACAAGTAATAAAGAAATATTAGAATTGAATTGAAGTATTCGAAGATGGATCTATCAACAAAAAAAAAAAAAAAACTAAAAGATAAAGAGGGGAAAGAAATCTGAGAGGTAGAGGTGAAAGATTACAGATTCGGGACTGGCACGATACAACTGGACAGATCTCTCCACGAAATCGTCCCACGATGTTATATAAACCATTCTCACTCTATATAAAAGTGTATGTAGACAGATATACACAGAGAGAGAATCCAAGAATTCGCAGAGGCCGTCGTCGATCTCTTGGGGAGGACTGAGGTTTTCAATTTTCGGGGTTTAGGGATGCGTCTCCGACATTTATGTTTTTTTTTTTTTTTTTTTTTAAATTTTACTTTTCGAAAAAAAGAGGTAACTGAAGAACATATTCCGCCATATAATTTAAAAGGGTTGGATTAGATGCACTAATTAATTAATTAATTAATATATTAATGGGGTGTTTGGCCAGAAAAAAAATAGTCTAGTTTAGGCTAAAATTCACAAAAAGATAAAATACGCTAAAATAATTAATAAGACAAAATATCACATCAAATTCATAATCATTTCACTTTTTTTCTCACAAACATCATATTCAACTACAAAAAAATCTAATCATCTTCCCAAACACAAAAATTTTAATCTACTAAAATAACCAAAAACTAAAATAGCCTACTAAAATAGCAACTTCTCAAACCATATTAATTATGATATTATTATTGATCCTATTTATTGCATAAATTATAAATATTAAAAATATCTTAAATTATATTACATTATTAATTAATACATTAATTAGCATACTAATCAGTACATATAACATTATTTAATTTAAATATAAGAAAATATTATGAATTCCAAATAATATATTAAATTTTTTACTAAACCTGTCACATAGGTATGAGACTTACAGAAACTCACATGTGTGTGAGCCTCACACCCATTTAAGAGGTTTGATAGATTATTTTGATAAATTATTTAAGTCCCTATCATCCCTCTTAAAAATATGTATATAACCTCCTTGTTGTATAGATAAATGCTATGAGCTTTAAATAAGAGTAATGCTAGAGATCCTAAATATTCTATCAAAAATTTTACCAAATGTCTCACATGGGTGTGGGACCCAGACCCTTGTATGAGCATGTGAGACATTTGGTAAAATTTTTGATAAAATTTTTAAGACCTCTAACATTTTTGTTAAATAATATATTAATTTTTTTATTAAACCCGTCATATGAGACTCATACAAACCCACATATACGTAAACCCTACACTCATCTCAAAGATTTGATAAATTATTTAAGATCCTATCATCAGCCTTAAAAACATATACATAACCTCATCACTCTTAAAAATATATACATAACCTCCTTATTGTATAGATTCAACGGTAAAATCCAACTCTGCTAACAAATTTTATAACAAGTCTACAATGTCCTTATCTTTTGCTTTAATTTTCGTTTTTTATGTCATCGTGAACCAGGCTCTTTTCTCTATCTACTTTTCTGTATTTTCTTATATTTTTATCTGTTTGGCAACAAAAACAAAAGCGACTTCTTTTTTTGAATTTTTTTTTGTCTTTAGTTTTTTTTTAAAAATTAAATCAAAATTTTTTACGTTTTTCAGTCTATCTTGTCATGACGAATCAAAAAAGTATATTTTTTATGAAATTTTTTTAAAAAGAAACACTAAAGACGAAAATAAACAAAAAAAAATACTTATTTTAGCATATTTTTATCTTTTTTGGATTTATTTTGAATTTTTTAAAAATATTTAGTGCCTTTGGTTTTAGTTTTCTGAAAATTAAGTTTTTTGTTTTTCATATTTTCTTGTTTTTAGTGAATATTTTTAAAATTTTAAATAATTTTTTATTTTTTTTAGATGCACCTTACTTAGATGTATATAAATAGTAAGATATTTGTGAAAAAATATTTTTAAAATTAATAAATACACAAAAATACAAAAAATATAATGAATTTTTAGAATTTTTTTTTGTATTTTTTGTATTTAATGAATTTTTTTTTAAAAAAATTCATAAATGTTATATTTTTTAAGTATATTTATGTTGGGTGTGTCTAAAATTTTTAACAAAAATTGCTTAAAATATTAAAAAAATTTCAATGAAAATAAAAAAATATAGGGCAAATTACAAACACCCCCTCGAGGTTTGGTAAAAATACAGATTCCTCCTTGAGGTTTGAGAAATTATAAATTGCCCCCTGAGTGTCAAATTTTCATAACAAATTAGGGGAAATTAGGAGAGAATCTGTATGAAAATAAAAATTTCAGGGGGCAATTTGTTATAGAAATGTAAACCTCAGGGGGTAGGATGTAATTTCTCAAACCTCAGGGAGGAATCTGTATTTTCACCAAACCTTGAGGGGGGTGTTTGTAATTTGCCCAAAAATGTATATGGAAAACGAAAAGGTAAAATTTATTGAAAAGTAAATTCTGAAAACTGAAACCAAACTAAGTGAATATTCTTTTACTCATGTTTTTTTTTTTTTTTTTTTAAAAACTA